GGAATAATTTTATCAAGCTAATCTAAATTATATTATCAAATAAAACCAGGCAAAATTAAATACCACTAAATCAAATTATAATCAACCTCGTGCAACCTTTTATACTAAATTTTGCTATAATCTGATATAAGCTAATGTAAAATGTATATAATAATCTAACCAAGCTTCTTGTATATGGAGCAATCTAATATAATCTATTATACTTCGATCTACTCCAATCAACCCCGTAATAGAGAATGTTTAAAGTAAAAGTATATCCATCACAGCGCTTAATAGTCATACTTGATAATTTGAAAATTAAACAAATTAATTATAATTAATTTTAGCCATAAAACTACGATTGAAGCACTTTTCATCTATTACATAAATTTTCCCAACTTTGACTCATTTTTCTGCGACGAAAGCCATCAAAATTCATAAATGCTGAGCAGGTCATGAGGGGGAGAAAGATAAAGAATAATAGACCCATAATAAGCTGGTTGCCAGTCCAAGCACGAAACTTTTGTATGAATCAACAGAGACTAAAGAGGGTACCAGATATATTCTCCAGAAGGACAAAGCAGAATGAGGTCAATTCCAATCAAATAAATGCTTGCTTCTAGGCTCAATGTAACCTGGTCTTAAGCCTCAATTATTATCAGACATGAAGTGGTTTGTCAGGCGAATTCATCGACAACTTCCTTTAATTAGTGACTCTTTTTCAGGGATTCAGTGCTCTTAAAAATGAAATGAAATTATCCGTGCGAAAATTAGTTCACTGAGTAAAGTTTAAAGCGTCTTTGATTTCTGTTACCTCTTCTGTCTAATGTTAATTTTTTCTCGAGCACTGTACTTCGCGTGAGCTCCACCGCGACACAAAGTTTGCTGGCACCGGAAGTGTGAAATTGTCACGTCTTCCACCCAAAGAGGAGGCACATGCAGGCTGGACTTGGAAACAAAGTTGCTTTTAATGGCTGAGTTTTTCAACACAAATTTTTCACCCCAAAATAGGCCTACAACAGTCCGTTACTATTTTGCTACTTTTGCACAAATCAATCCTAAACAAAAGCTTTCCCTTAAAGGACACATCAACCTACCAAACGGTTGGTCAAATTGCTCGGTTGTCTGACCAACCGAGCTGTCTGAAGAATGGATCTGCAACTGGATATCATTTTAGAAAGCATATCATCTCAAGATTTTTGACAAAGATCCGTTCGGAAGACCTTCTCCTCAAGAGGTAGCACCGTGGACTGTGCTCCACCCAAGAGTCATTCGCATCCTCGTTGCTAGTCACCGACAAACTCTTTACATTCCACAACTTAACAAGGCACTGCCTAGGCAACTGATGTTTTTTTAACGGTCCAAGGTTTGTCAATGCACCTGAGCCGGTCTCTAGAGGATTGGAAGTTTTACTTTAACCACGAAAGAGGAAGCTAAAAGGTCTATGTTTAGTGGGTTATTTTTCCCAATTTTCAACATTTTCCTTTGTAATTTCCATCTTCTTTCACAATTTGATCTACTGTCTACTCTTCTATAGGCTTTTAGATTATTTAGTACAATAAACTGAGAGGATGTATGCATTATGTATCAGTTTCTACGGTGCACATAATTATTTATTTGTATTTAATTTACACTAATCGGGGAACAGTACGGTTTATAGACAAGAGCCCCTTATTGGCCGTGAGTTAGAATACTCCGGATCTTAGGTACTTATGCTTAAATGATTGGCATGAGTAATTATATGGCACCATTATTATATATCATTATATAGAACAAAAATAGCATAAACTAGGTGAAAATTGACTCGAAATTAAAGGCTATTTCCGCCCTGTGCATCCTGTTTGGTTGTTGGAAAGCGTATGATAAGCACGAACATAAGAAAACATTACGTGAAAAAAATACTAAAATAGTCAGTAATGGAGCTTTACTTTGCAATTGTCAAGAAGCTGATATTGTTGAGACCCACGCAAGTCTAACCATGCAGAATTAGAGAGGTAACTTGATAGTCACCTTAAATTTCATTAAGCCATGCCTACAAAATGGATAGAGTGCCGTCTGGACCTCATTCAGGTCTCATCATCATGGCACTTTGGAAGGCTTGGCAAGAAGAAATTAAGTAAGAAAACCTGTAATCGAAGGCCTGTTAGATACGGATATATACAATTTTGATGAGTCTATTTCGAGAAAACGAAATCTTGAAGTAAATGTAAAGACAATTTGGGTTTCTATCCATTTCTTGGCTTTTACTTGCTTGATCCACATCCATGTCAAGTTTCAGCACGTGTGGGTTCGAGTCTCTTCATCACACATTCACTCGAAACGAAGCTGGACTCGACAAACTATCATATTCTAAGCTAGGCTCTTACGACTAAAACTGTACTAATTTACTCAAAAAACTGTCTCGATGTAACGATGGGGTTTGCCAAAGTTGGCAAAACCTCGCCCATTTGCAGCTTAATTTCAGCCGTATGTAGACAAGTGGAAAAGATCTGTTGCTATTCGCCGACTAGCTACAACAAATAATCGTTTAACCGCTCGACTAGAGCATCTCGAGTCGTCTTCTTTCCTACCTGTTGGAGGACTATGAGACAATTGCTTGCGCACATCAATTTCTCATCGCGCAATACCGAGTGATCCAAACAGATTTTGTGTAAACTGTTAAGATAACTTGTTGTGCTTATTACATTTCGAGTGAAAGTGTGCGATTAAGAGATTCGAAGGTCGTTTCCATCAGAAGAAGACGGCGGATTGGCTTCAATGGAACAATCCCGCTGACGCTGTTTCCGAGGCAATCTCCTTCCATTCCGGAGAAAAGGTACTAAGCCTTCGTCCGTCACATGACGAACATCATCAGAGCGAGGTAGCATCGTCACAACCAAATTGAAGCTAACGAGTCTATAAAACTCACCGGCAAATCCCTAAAAAGTGGTATATTTACTCTACTTCGGGCCTTCTTGATAAAAAAAAACCAGACGTGTGTCCGAATTTGCGCAATCGAAGTGATGGTTATAACATTTGTGTAGCAAGCGGGAGATGGTAGTCATCCAACCGTGATGGTTGAGAACCGACGTTACTTTTGCTGTACTAATCACTTTGATCCATCACTGCGAGTTGCGTGCACAAGCGAACACAAACATGCACATATACATACAGAGACAAACACACTCACAAGCTTCGAAGTTGACATGTGACCGTAACTAACCAAATTATTTCATACCTTATCAAAGAGGTCAGATGTAGAGTATGTATACCACTTTTTAGGGATTTTTCGGTGGGTTTTCTTGACTCGTAAGCTCGAATTTGGTTGTGACGATGATACCTTGTTCTGATGATGTTCGTCATTTGACGGACGAAGACTTATAACCTTTTCACCGGAATCGAAACAGCGTCAGCCTGAAGCTTCTAATAAAGCCAATCTACAGCTGGTCAAGAGGAATTCGAAGTCGTCTTCTGGTGGATCCGACCTTAGAATATCTTCACCCAACACTTTTACTCGAAATGGAAGTAAGCTCAACAGTTGAAATTATTAAATGCTTATATTAAGATCAAGTTTTACGCCATATTTTTAGGTGACCCACCTTTGCAATTTGGGTAACTGGCTCAGCTAAAACATACCAATTAATTTCAATATGGCCGATGGAAGAATTGGTGGTCACTTTTTGTACACTTGCTCAACTCACACATTTGAGCCTGCATATTTACGATTAGAAAGTGGAGTTTTCCTCTTGCCCAAATCCAGGCATAATGTTTTAGATCAGTTGGCATGATGGGATAGAACAAAATTGAGGTCTACGTCTTTGACATGGGGTCAAAGCCATCTGACTTGGTATGTGGATCTGGTGTGGATGGGCAGTTTTGTAAAGTCTAAATATGCAATTACCTTTTGTGCCTTCCTCTTGTCGGCCCGTTGACTTTGGTGATAGATGCGTGAGAAGTTTGATACGATCACGGGAACCGGAAGCGCGATCACCAGGACGCCGCAAAGCGAGCACATGCCTCCCACAATTTTGCCGATTATTGTCTCAGGCACCATGTCCCCGTAACTGATTGAGTTGAGTGGGTATGCGTGAGTGGTTGAATGGGGAAGAGGAGTTGGATAAAATGTTTTAATAGTTGCGGGAGTTTGGAATGCCGAACATTCCATCCAAAGATGGGTTTGCATCTTGGGACAGTTAAATTCACTCGAAAAGTCAAGCTCTGCCTAAACTTCGTCAATTATATGTAAATGGTTTAGCAGTCTTTCCAAGAAAGAAAATTATGTTATCAACAATTGTTCAACATTTTCAGCTGCTCGCCGCGGAAATAACGGTTTTAACTTCGTGAATTGAATGTATTTCAATTTGCCGAATGCTTGCCTCAACCGGGATTACCCAGATCGGGTTCAGGATAGGAGATTGTCAAATAAGCAGATGATCTAGAACGACGAGGGGTGCAGAGTAAATATAAATAACTTACATAAAAAGTAAATAAAACGGGTTTATGTTGCGAAATAAATCTACTGTTGCCGAGACAAATGGCAACCCCGACTAAATGATTACTCTAATTGTGCCCCATCGAGATGTACAAGTCATTCGTAAAAGTCGAATAGTGAAATTAACACCTCCCCAACAAGACTTTGAAGATGAAATTCCGTGTTTTACGGGGCCATCTCCTACCTCTTGGATGTTTTCCAGCATTAATTTAAAGTACTTCACGATTAAACTCATTATAATTATTAAACTTCAAACAGAATGCATAGTAAATGATATGAGATGTATTCTCCCAATTCCCTTTAAGATGATGAAGGACTGGTAGAAAAAGAATTTTCCCACAATGATATGAGTTGAGCGGATGTTTCCATTAAATTTTACATAGCCTTGCTTTCACAAATGTTTTTCTCATTCAGGCACTAGTGGACTGAAGCTTCGACCCCAGTGAGAGTGGGGGTCATATCATTGTGGGAAAATTCTTCTTATAACAGTCCTTCATCACCTTAAACGAAATCGGGTGAATACATCTCATACTACTGATTTACAGGTAGTCACGAAAGCAATACTTAATTCGAAAAATATAGTAAATGAGTAGTAAAATGAGTAGTAAATGAGGACCTCTAATGGGTTAGATAGAGATCAACCATTATATCGCAAAAATTGATTGAAATGATATTTCCAAAGTGAATTTTTCCTTAGAAGGATTTCTTAGGCCATCGCCTCGATGTGTACTCCTAGGCGTGGCTAAAGCACTTCCCAATCATATAAACAAAACTTTAAAAAAATACTAGCCGATGCCCAGCTAGATCCGGATTATGATATACCAAGAAAAGAGAATTTAAATAAATACGTATTCTGACAAATTGTTCAGCTTCAAGATTAATTACAAAAATAGCATATTTAACACTCAATATATATTCAACCGATTAGGCACTTTAACAAAATTCCCTATTAAACGGCATCCCCAAGTTTGCAGAAGATCAAAGGCATATAGCTAGTCATAATTATTACTGTCATCGAAAATTATATTTGGGAGCTAATAATGACTATTAAAGACTTACTATTTAGCAATAATTTGATTAATAAACTAACAATTTGGTAGAAGTGAAATTAATTGGTCGAATTTACGAACTGACTAAATTAATTTGCATTAAATAGAGATTTTGACTAAGAGGCACTAAATAAGTCGGAAACACAAAATGTAGATAATCACGAATGATCAATTGGATTTACAGAATATAGTAGCTGAAGTGGTAAGCATAAATTGTTATGAAAATTTAATAAAGTCTGGGCCCTAAAAATACCACCATCTTCACGACATAATCAAGATTCATCTTGCCTGAAAGAATACAAGACGTCTTATTTCAAAAGTAATACAACTCATATAACTTATTTACTGGTAGTCTTGAAGCACAGCTAATAAACAAAAAATAAATTTTAATGCATTTTAGCAAGTCGTCCTTAAATCTACATTCATGGCAAATGCAAAATATGGAAAGATTGGGACTGACTGTTTATTTTATTTTCATACATTAATGCGTTTCTTCACATTATACGATACCACGGAGTTATATTATTTTCCTTCGAGAAGGGCAATGTGAATTGCAGTGAAGCGAAGGAACGGTGATCGCGAGACCAATAGTATTGCCCATTCTGACTACAAACACTGTTTGGGCTAAATAATGTGTGAATTTAAATCACAACCTTTAAAATATTGCATATTGCCTTTGGATTATTTGGGATTGACCTAAATGTTAAGGGTCTCACATGGACTTGTACCTCGCTGCAATATCGGTCCTTAGTTATAGTTCATTTAAGTTAATGACCAGATCCGAAGGAAGTTGAATTTATCTAACTTTTATGGATTAAAAGCTGAGTTAGATTGTACAATTGAATATTATCTTATTGTCATGTTGAATGATAACAAACGTTAAAGCTTACATGCTTGAGTGTTTTAATTGCTCCTCAAGAATGGGACGATGATAATCAAGACCATAATTTGTTTGCCAACTAAGAATCTACCTCAATTACTTGGGAAGAACTACAGCATTTTATGACTTTATGATATTGATTCAATGATATTGTTAAAGTCCATGGTGTAGCAAAAACTGAAATTTTCCTGTTACATCATTACGCCTGAGTCTAATTCTATGTGCCTCCCCATGAAACTAGGATCATTACTACTTCCGCTCTCATCCAGCCAAGTTGTACTTCCAGAATTAAAGACTCTCTGAGAATAGAGTCTATATGTTTAGGGCATACATTAAATATTGTCTACACGATAAATCCCAAGGACATTAGGGCCAAGCAGAATACAGCCAACTTCACCCTCCTATAGCAGCATGCTTAAAATTCATAAATGCCTTACTGGTTAGATTTCAGACTGAATTGTGTTTCGAAGTATCGAAATGAAAAGCTACTGTATATAGTAGCTTGGTATATGGTGTGAGAATGGTGTGGAAATGCCAG